CTTTAGGGATGATACCGAGAAACTCTAGGATGCTTTGGCATCGGGAGTTATGGCTATATAGGGATAATGGAAAAGAAAATGGAACCTACCATTTAGGGTTTAGGGTTTAGGGTTTAGGGTTGGGGCTATATAGGGATAATTGAAAAGAAAAAGGAAACTACTATGTAGTTATATAGGGGTTTATGTTGGGACAATGGAAAAGAACATGGAATCTACTATGGTATACAGGTTGGGTACTGCCCCCCCCCTCAGTCACAGTTGGATAATAATTATAATATGGTTATATATAGCCCTTAATAGGACCCCTAATATAGACTGTTACTGGGTGGGGGCAGTACCCAATATGTAGGGGGTATGTAAAGATCTCCTTTAACCACTCAACTTGGGACAGGTTTTTGGAGGTGTCGCCTTGTGGTTCAATCTAGGAATCCGCTGCAGGTGAAGGATCTATAGTCCCCTTAAGTAGATGGAATTTTGGAGTTCCCAAAATCATAATAAGATCCCAATATACCCCATATTCTATCTACTCCAAGGGGGACTGTAGGCTTCAACGTTGCAAGTCGACTGGGGTTTAGGGTTTAGGGAGGGGCTCTAGGACTTGCAGTGTCAGTCAGAGACAGCTTTTGATTATTCGGCCTGCCAAGGCACCATTCACGGTGGACAGGGGGGTCTTTTTGGTAGTCTAGTATAGTCTATCATGTGTTGCCGAATACGAACCCATGTCCATTAAGTATTTGGGAGACATAGGCTGTAGCTCCTCTAACCCTATACAATCCTATATACTTATATACCCCTCTATTTCTTTGCTTTGGGACATGTAGACTGTAACTCATATGTTGAGATTTAAGGCTCTGAACCGGGTGGGCTTAGGGTTTAGGGGTTTAGGTTACATGGGGATTTCCCAAAATTCGGGGTATCTTATGAGAGCCTCTATACTAAGGGCTCTAGTATTGAGGGTCTACGGGGGGGGCCTTAATGTTTTGGGAAACTACCATATACGCTTAGTTACATTAGGCGGGAGCCATGTGCCATATGCCTATATGTAACGGCATTTTATAACTCAGTTTAAGTTCTGTAAGCTCAGTAAACCTTCAAGCCCCAGAGAGGACACCCCTTCAATCAATGAGGAACTGCTTAGGACGATGTAGGAGTACAGAATTACTCCCTCATAGACTCTAACCCTGCAGTCCTCATGACAGTGCAGGTTTCCAGGGGTTATTGAGTCCAGCTGCATTGTGCCTCAGGCCTTTGCCGTGGACATCTACAAGCTGGGCCGACGTGGTTTCGAGCCTCTCGCCCAGCTTTTCCTTTTGTTACTGGTGTAAGGCTGTAAGGGGAGTGAGGGAGTGGATGTAAAACCTATTGTTGTAAATCCTATTGTTGGGGTATGTAGGTGGGCTGTATGGAGATCATTCTGAGGGCTCAAGTCTTGGATTCATTGCGCAGTTGCGTGATACCAGGCTGGGACGCCGGGTTTAACGCACGTTGCATTTGACTTGCTGTCCACATTGCTCTCTATTGCGGTCCCTGGCGCTGTTTTGATATGTGCTAATTTCCGTAGCCCTAAGCTTCCAGAATCGCAAGACCCAACCCCAAACGCTAAACCCTAGCCTTCAAGCTTAACCTTAAAACCCTTAAAAGCCCTTACCGCCCTTGCAGCACTAACAATTTTGTGTTGGGTCGCCAGCAGAGGGTCGGGCGTTTTGTTTCAGGCGGCTATTTTTCTTGCGTTCACAGAGATTGTCATAGTAAGTATAATACAGTAGTATGGTATATTATCGTAGTATAGTATATTGTAGTAGTATAGCATAGCATATTATTAGAGTAGTATATTGTTATAGTAGTAAGGCATCTTGAAAGAAGGGAGCTTTTGCAAAGGGGGAGGCCGTGTGTAAAGCGCGTGGGGGCTCCTCCAAGATGTGCCGGGAAGGACCATTTCAAGGTAGACCGGCAACACGGCTTAAGGTCAAGCCCTAAACCCTACACCCGAAGCCTAAACCTGAAGCCTAGACCACACACTTTGACAATGTGGTGTCCACCCGGCGCCGTAGGTGGTTTACAAACATATTTACACCCACTAGAGGCGGGGGCCCGGATCAGAGGATCAGAGCACGCAGTATTACATTTGCGGCCTTCCTGCAAGGTATGACAAAATTTGGTCAACCTACACGAGGGGAGCGCATTGTTGCGAAGAGAGGTAGTTTGAGTAAATTGGCCGTATGGATCAATTTGCTTAAACCCTCTTTCCGCGAAAGAGACATCCCCTTAAAGTCATGCGGGAGCGGAGTTGATGCAGCCGTGATTCGCCAATCCAGAAGGTCGTCTTATCGACACAGTATCCCCCATAATGCGGACGCTGTTAGCCCTATGCGTTGCGGCTGGCACATGCGTGGCAACTGCGAACCTATCAGACATCGTGTCGGAGGCCTACTACATCAATTTGGCGGAAGCTAGAGATCGAAATCGTGTCATGCGGACACAGCTGGCAAGGCTGGACCAACAACCCTAACACTTATAGTCCCCCTTAAGTAGATAGAATATGGTGTATATGGGGATCCTATTATAATATACCCAAAGCCATATTCTATCTACTTAAGGGGGACTATAACCCTAAACCCTGAAACACTAAACCCCTGAATCCCTAAACTGGCAAGGCTGGAGCAGGAGGCTGGCGTCAGCTACCAGCGCTTCGACGCAGTGAGTGGCAAACGCGACCCCTCAGTCCGATTGTTGGTGGCACCCTTCAAGGACAAGTAGGGGGGAGGTATTCGACCCTATTATACTTAAAGCAAATGATAATCGCAATAAAGATAATACTGTTAGTTAGAATACTGCGAGTAGTGGGTTCTAGGCTTTTTGATTTGGGTAGATGATTATAGGGTTTTCTGGTCTGAAAAAACATGCTGGAAGGATGGACAAGACCCTCGGCTGCCTCTGCCTAGCACCAAATCCATAGCCGCACTGCAGGCTGTGCTAGCTGCTGAAATGAGCCACTTGCGCCTGTGGGAGCACATCTGGCGCACTCGGCAGGCGGCCCCCTTTGCATTGATTCTTGAGGATGATGCCAGGATTCCGAGGAATCTGGAGCAGCACTTGGCATGGCTCCGGGAGATCCCGGAGGATTGTGACATGGTGATGCTGGGTTACTACCTCATGTGTTACACTGATGGCAACCTGACTCAGTCTTGCGACAGGGACAGCCATGAGTACAGAGACTTTGTTAGGATTGAAAAGGCTGTTTCCGAAGGAGGCACGCAAAAGGCCCTCGTACATGGTCCAGCACGATTTGCAGGTGCTCACGCCTACCTGGTGAAGGTAGAGAGCATTCCTCGGCTACTCCGGCATGTGGAGCACATTCGAGATCAGGTCCTCGCCAACTCTTCCCTCCCGTTGAAGATGATGGGCACCGATTATGCCACAGACTTTGGGAAGGATTGTCGCAAATATGTCAGAAGCCCACCGACCATCCAGCAAGCCCATGACCTTTACAAAACGCAGATTCCAACGAGAATTTGGATGAAATTTGAGGAGCATAGAGGTCAGGTGGCTGATGTGAGTTTTGAGTTCAGTGCCGGTAGTATTATGCTGATTGGGGCAAGCTTGCTTGCGCTATTCGCCATGTCGTCCTCCCGGTTTCAGACGAGTTGCCGAGGTGGAGATGACCCTGTGGTGCAAACTTTTCTGGGAGAAGAGCCGATGTAGACAAGGCCCCCTGGTGAGAGTCGTCGCACCGGGTGGTTGAATCAGGCTCTGTATGGTGGTTTGTATCTTTGTTTCAAAAGGCAATGCCTCCGTAGGGAGTGTGGCAAAGCCGCCTTCCAACAACTGGAATCCGCATGTTTCATGAGTCCCTCAAGAACAATGGCCACAAGACAACACAATAAAAGAAAGATAAATCATTGATCAGCCGCAGCACCTGCGTTGGCCTGCGCGTAGCGAATGTCCCTGGAACAGGCTTTGCGCAACGTTATCTAGCAGTTCCACACATGTTTCGAGTGGACTGCTCTTAGGAAGCCTCAAGCAGACAGTTTGCCGAAAGCTCTGATCTCAAGTGGCATATTGTCCAGGCTTTGGAAAGTAGTTTGTACATTTTTGCCGCTTTGGAAGCAAGGTTTCATAGAGAGTGCGGCAAAGCCGCCTTCCAAGAAACGAAGCGCGCATGTTTTAAGCGTGCTTCAGAACACGGGACAACACAGACAGAGAACGAGTTTGATAGGCTGCAGTACACACTTGCATGGGCATGGGTGTGTTGAATGTTCCTGAAATCGGATTTGAACAACATTCTCAAGCAATTCCTAGTATGCTTGAGCGCCCAGTAGACTGACTTTAGGAAAGCTCCAAAGCATCTCGGCACCATGTCCATGTCAGACAGCTCTGTCGAAAGCACTGACCTGAAGTGGCATATTGTTCAGGCCCCTTGACTTTTGCTCAGCTGTTTTGGCATTTTTGGGGTGTATAGCGGTTTACATGCAGGGTATAAGTGTTATCATGCGGGGGCATGCTATCACGGGCGTTGTAGGGCCTACTTTAGGGGTTATAGGGGTGTTATTAAGGAACACTATCATTAACCATCCCATAGTATACATATACCAACTCGTATAATCACTGAATAATCCATTTTTATGCGGCTCCTTCGCAAGATCTTAGATTTCTAGGGTTCAGCGTAAAAATTTGGTTAGGGGTTTAGGGTTGAGGGTGGAGGTTTTAGGGTTTAGAACTTGCATCCAGTGAGTGATCAGGCCCTGTTGGTGGCTGGGGCGCTTGTAACGCTGATGCTGGGTTTCGTTTTCCTGCGGGGTTCCTCGCCAGTTTGCTGCCAAGCCAGGGGCGGGTACCGCATCTCCAAGAGGGTGTGGGCAACTTTGCTACTGCCCAACATGGTGACTGCGGTTGATTTAGAAGTATAGTCCCCCTTGAGTAGATAGAATATGGGGTATATGGGGCTCTTATTATAACATACCCAAAGCCATATTCTATCTACTTAAGGGGGACTATATCCTGTTGAATTTCATAGGTCTTCAGATAACTTTCTAAGGCGTACAAATACAGTTTTTATGCAGCCCCCAAGTGTACACAAGGTGATGCATGGTTGCGGAGGCGCAAGAATTTGGAGTTTAAAAGCATACTGTAGGACAGTTACAGGACTTGGCTGCAGCCTTGTGTCAACCCGGGAGGTGCGCTGATCGTGGCCGCACCTCAGTACATTGTGAACTCTGGCATCGGGAGCGCAGGCGGCGCGGGCATCGTGGCAAGCAGCTTTGGTCTGGGGTTGGTCACGGCTAACCTGGCAGCCTTTCAGCTGGGGAAGTTTTGGCCTCACTGGTCCATGTTCCTGCTGAGTGCTGCGTTGGGCCTCGCGGGTGTGGCGAGTGGAGCGCTCCTCACAGTGCAAGGTAAGCCCTTTGCGGGCCTGGTGTCAGCTACGTTCTTTGTGGGCTTCGCGCAATCCATGCATGTCGTGGCGCGCACCTTCTACCAAGCTGAGGTGGTGAAGGAGCAGTTGGCAGGCCACGCGGAAACAGCGGAGGCAACGCCAATGCTGAAGGAAACTCGAGGGACTCAAGAGGGGCAGGCTTTCATGTCCGGCTGGGTCAGTGCCTCAAACATTTTGGGCATTGCAGGCGCAGCCTTTGCTACTGCTGTTGTTGATTGCACAAGTGCCACGAACCTGGGCTTACTCTGTACCACCGGAATTTCGCTCTACACCTTCCTTATCATCCTTCTTTTTGCCACTGCCTCTGCCTCCAGCCCAAAGACGGAGTCCACTGCCCTGCAAGAAGCTTGGTTGCGGTTGGACAGGAACTTATTTAAGTTACCATAGTAGGGATTTATGGCAAATAATGGAGTTCGCTAAACCCTAAACCTATACCACTCAACCTAAACCCTCAACCCCGAAACCCTAAACCTATACCATGAACCCCTAAACCCTAAACCCTATAAACCTATACCATGAACCCCTAAACCCCAAACCCAAAATTCTATAAACCTTAGTTCCTTAACGGCAGCACAGGATCTGGAGAGAGGAGAAGTCCCCGCGGAGGAGGGCCAGGAAGGCAATCTGCATGAGGGGCCCGTTTTCCTCACCTGGCAGTTTCCGGACGATTGTGAGGATTAAGGGTTTAGGGTTTAAG